AAAACCACAATAGATAGAAATATGCAGTTGGCGGGAATCATCTATTGACGTAGGGGGCTCAATTTCTTTGAGTTCACCGTTACATTTACATTCCCCCCCCTGCCCCCAACTTAATTTTTTTAAATAGCAAGGTACCCCTTGTGACATATCAAATAAAAGAGCATGAAAAAAGAAAATGTTTGATGAAAAAAAATTGAAAATCGGTTCATAAATTTGTGAGATATTCCCCCCCTCCCCCCCGGAACTTAATTTTTTTTTTAGAGCAAGGTACCCCTTGTGACATATCAAATGAAAGAGCATCTTAACTACCCCCTGTCCCAATTAGTTCGGATTAACACTTTAACCGAAACATGGGCGACACTTTTAGTTCGTACTTCTATATACAATACCTTATGGTAATTACGAGGTTCTCTTCTGTTGATATCCAATCCCTAACAATGCTCTCATAAGGTGCTAGACAGACTTTAACTTTTGTTAAATGAAGCAATTAGCATACTTAAGTAATTAAAAAGCTTACTTTCATATACCATTTTTGTTTGTCAACACATCAACAGACCTCGATAGATGTAAAGCAGTTGTCGCAGGTGACATTCATGTTAGTATGTTCCACAGGTTTGCAGAGACGAACGACTGTTTGAGTTGGCTTTTGCAGCTGCAACTCTGTAGGAGTAAGACCAATGCCATCTCAGTCTTTTCCCGTGTATATGTAGGCATTGTACAAATATGACGTACTGGAATCACACAAACACCGGACTTTGATTCCACATTCGTTGGGCTTTTATGACATTTACACCTTGAAGGCCAGGGGTGCCCATCCCCCCCAAAGACAATAGCGCGAGTCCCCCCAAAATTTCACCCCCCCCCCCTGGCCATGGGATCAGTCCGGGGGGTCTGGGGGGTATGGGCGGAAATTTTAGACATATAATAGATGGGTTTTTATAATTTGAGGCACCTGACTAGAAGTTGAGTTGGTTAAAAAATGGTACGTTATTTTCTTCATCTTAGTATTGAAAACGTTGGTTTATCGCGAGTTTGTCGTAATTGAGTTTGTCTCTATTACTCTCCTTCCCAAACAATATACAATAAAAACTAAACAGACTCCCTTTGCTCACACTTGCCGTAAGCCAAGGTTTTTTTCTCAAACCAAGAAGTGCAAAATGTTATAATTTTCTTAGGACCATCTTCTTGAGAAAATGTAAAGCCTTTAGGTTGGTGAGATCCTAGCTTTTTAATTGCTAATTTTTCCTCAAGAGCGAGGTTAGAAAAGTTTAATGTTAAAAGATTATCCACTTCATTAATTTTCCAAAGCTAAAATTAAACGAAATTAAGTTAGGCCTACCGTGAGTCAATCATCACAACTGTGAGTTAATAATATTAAAATAAAAATATAACTAATATTTTGCTGAAAGTATAAATAATTCTATTAATTTAGTAGACTACTTCAAGTATTTTATTTAGTAGGTCTAGTGTTTCTGTTATGTCTACTCTACTCGTCTACTAAACATGTTATTAAAATAGTAAATAATTCCAAACTAATAGGCATTGGCCTGCTAAAAACTATCTATCTACAAACATACAATTAGTCTGCAAATTTAAAATTTAAATCATGGCAAGAACTGCATTTTTTAATAATAACTCACAATTCTGAAAATTGCAGTACCGTTGAAGTAGGCCTAACCCCATTTGAACCACGAACACGGAACAACAAAGCATCAACACATCTTTAAATTTAAATGATTACTAAAACCGACAAAATTGTAATATGGTTACATACTCTAATAAATCTGTAATAATATCACGAAACTAAAAGTGTTAACTTATTAGTTGATAAAATATTTCATACAACTACAACCTGTTTCCTGGTTGGTGTACAACATACACGTTAACACGGGCGGCGGGAATCGGGATGTAAACAAAGCTACACTAGCGAGCTCACTCGCCACTCGGTTGCCGCCAGTACAGTGCTAGCGCATCTCACCGGCCATGCTAAACCTGACGAGTTGTGTTATGTTTTATATTTATGCTTGATTGTGAGCACAGCTTGTCTTTAATGTCCATACATTATAAAAATATTTATTTGTTGACAAAGAGTTGTATTTTGTTAATCCCCCCCCCCAAATCTAAAAAAAAACATCATTAAATCTCAAATTCCCCCCCAAAATTGAATTGTATAGCGCAGTTCGTGCTATCAAATCATTCTGTGGGCACCCCTGTTGAAGGCATACCTTCTACAGAAGGGAACGAACATTTCATCGATTGTCAAGTATTCACTCAAACAATATACTTTCAGTTCTCAATGAACTTTAAAAAAATCTTACTCACTGCTGCTGCCTTATTTGATTGTTTGCGGTGTGTTCTTGTTGTAGAGTCGTCGAATCTCAAACACGCTGTCAAAACTTCATAATGCTTATAAGACATTGTGCACGTAAAATAAGGACTATTGGTTACGTCTTTTGAGAGTAGTGAAGTCATATCCTCATGGTTGGTTTTCATAGGATGCTAGCAAGTAGTTGTAAGCCAAGGTAGGCATTAATATTAATTTCTGCACTATCTGTAGACCGGTAATTTGACTTACTTGTTGTTGCCTCCAAAGTAGATCTTACTGATGCAAGTTTTTCATTTGTAAAATTTACAACTGAGTTGAGCATACTTTTCTCAAATAACAAATTCCATACCTGAAATTTCATAGGTTTGTTTCCAAGCATTCGAGCTGGTCCTTTTAAGGCTGGTAGAGCACATTAAGTGTTCTTCGTTTAGTAGTCCACCAGTAGGGAGGCCCAAACTCCTTTTTCCTCAACCGTCGGTTAACATCATCAGGCAGTGCAGGTGCTTGTGGAACGTTTTAATCAGTTTCCATAGCTTTAAGATCAAGAAGGGTGTCATCTTCAACTACTACATCTTCACTACTACTACTTTCATGATCACTTGGTAGAACCAAGTCTGGGTCATCGTCAGAATCGTTTATTTTTCACATGAGCTTTCATTTTCGGACACTTTGTCATAAAGCATTCTATTGATGCGAGTGTCAAAGTCAGAGTCATGAACATTGACCGTCTTTAAGGTTGGCTGTGTTTCCATCGCTTAAAATTTGCCAGCATAAAATAATAAATTTTAAGGTACTAGCAGTTACCCGGCGCGTGTTGCTGCCTTTAACAACTATTATTTTAAATGGCAATTTGTTCTTTACTATGAATAATAAAAGTGTATACCAAAAATAAAAAAGAATATTTTACTTAATTGCCAGTGGATAAACAAAGTTTTTATTGTTTTTTCATTAGGTGTATAAATATATCAGTTTTTTGCCGTACCTACCACCACGTGAGCACACAACATGCAGCTGTCCGTGTGTTTCTAAATTTAAACCGACGATAGCCAGGGATTGCCCTAGAACCTTATAGTGGTGATTGCGGAAGCAAGACGCAAAGGAAATTGTAGTTGCTTAAATTGAGAGGGTAATTCGGATGAAATCATCAGTATTCTTGAGATTAACACTATATACCTTTAAACTTACCACTGTAACTTTTGCTTCAATCAATTTTGGTGTCATTTTTCCAACTGGTAACGTTACACAGCTTCGGTGGATTTAAGTTTCGCATTAGTATTATTGGATTTCCTTCGTTTAATGACAGTAATGTTGTGGGTTAGTGACAAATTGAGAGACATTTGAATACCTGAGATAGCACGCACGATTATTATTCAGTGCACAGGTGTGCTGCGATTGGGTTTTTTTTTTATTATTCAAAAGTAAAATAGTTTTCTGTGCTGCACTCTGTGGAAACATTGTGGCACTATTTCAAATCATGACTAATATAGAATGTTGTGACTATTCAAACCTACAAAACAGTTGCCAGGTAACAGCTAGTAGTCATATTTATTTGTAAACATTGTAGTTAAAAAGTCTGACATTGGCCCACATAAAACCCTCTGGGGCGGAGCCCTTTTGACGGATCTGCACCAAACTTCACACAAACCATCCTTGGAAGATGCTTAATAATGCCTGAAAGTTTCATTACAATCTGCCGAGCTGTTTTGGAGTCCATAACGTTTAATACATACATACATAGTTCCTTTTTTATAGATATAGACTAGCTGTACCCGCGGGCTTTGCCCCGTTTAACTTCTTAATTTTCAAGATGATCTCGTTCGCATGGCTCAATCACGTCCTGGTTGAAGTTCGTTCGCTACGCTCACTCACCTTTAGGTTGGAGCTCGTTCGCTGCGCTCACTTGCCTTCAGGTTAGCTCGTTCGCTACGCTAACTCGTCTCCAGGTTGAAGTTCGTTCGCTACGCTCACTCACCTTTTGGTTGCAAATTAGCTGTTGTCATAAATTAAAATAAATAATAGTGCTGCACCCTGTTGTTAATCATTGTAACTTTAATGCAATTGAACATCATAGAACAGAACCAACTTGTTTAATTTAAACAGCTGTTAAGATTCATTAATTCCTTTTAAATATGAAAAATCATAAGGCTAACATGGGAAACTCCAGAGCCACTGGGGCGGAGTCCGAGAGTCCGATCAGAATAAACCAACTTAGTTTTCCTATTTAATGCCTAAAGAATCAATGTACCAAATTTCAGCCTCCTAGGTAAATGGGAAGTGGGAGAATTAGTGATGAGTGAGTGTGTCAGTGAGGGCTTTGCCTTTTATAAGTATAGATAAAAAAAAATTATAACAGTTTAACGATTTACTAATCGAAACAACCGGACCGGCAGCGCGATATAGGCCTAAGTTACTAAAAAGGTCCGGCCCTAGAAACCGAAAATGGAGATGTTCACTCAATTGACTCAATTGGTAACTGAAGATGATGGGTGGGGTAGGGAGAAGAGTAGGAGGGGCAAAGGTACTGAGTGGTAGGGGCAGGCACGTCCAGCAGTTATGCTACTACAGAAAAATCTATTTTCCCTCAGGTCTCACGGACTGGTGTTTCAGTTAAAGTGTTAAAGAGATTCTACTGTAGTTAGATAAGTAAGATAGTAGATAAGGATAGTATGAGAACTCGTACATTAAAAAACTTTAATTTCATGTTATTGTTTCAGCAACATTGAATAAGAACTCTTGCTCTAGTGGGTGCAATGTTCCGACAATGACCAAAGAGTGGAGGGGAGCACCAAGGTCCAGGTCGGGGAATGACCGCAGTGGTCCGTAGCAGATACGCTGGTCTGGCGCCCCCACTCTCGCCACACCTACACACTCGGTCATCTCTGTCATTTCTGCAACACACAAACACCAGATGTAGTTTAATTGAGCCAACAGAGTGCACGGATGTAAATTACTGGCTTCTGTCAAATAAGCCAACTTTCTTAACACATCAAATAGAATCTTTTATGTCACATAAACCAACTCAGTAGTGAGTATTAGGGATAAAAAACATTTTAGACTAACAAAAAAATAGGCTATTGCTGATTTATATACTAAACAGGATATCTACTTCAGTATCAAAAAATCAGTGCTAATATTATGCTTCTGAATACTGGTTTCATAATTTACAATGATTTAATAGCATCTAAATATGATACTACAAAATAAATAGAATTCTTCTATCTGACATAATTATTAAAGTAAAAAATGAGCGAAAAATTCTATAAACCTAAAAAAAATTAGCACAAGCAAGGAATTTGGTACAGATGTTACCGTGTGTTGTGTATGTAACTGTCAATTTTGATGGGTTTCACCATAGATAAAACATACTCCCTTAGTATATTTCTCATCCTTATGGAACAGCTGAAGACAATTTTATTGTTAGTTCATGTACGGTTTATGTAGAGGTCGTGTTTTGTTTACAATCTGTTTCCCGTTATTACAGCCATTTAAAACCTCGTTTAAACAAATAATACGATCTAATCATAAACAATAACTTGTCCCCTAGTTATATAACCAAACAGTAAAGCACAAATCAAGAAATTAACCCTAAAATAATGGAAACAAAGTTTCATCGACACTAGCGCCTTTGTGTCACGTACATGAACTAGACACGAAAAACGTGCTTCAAAATTTACAATGGGATGAGAAGTCTACTTGTGTTGGTTAGTCTATGGTTTCACTGATTTTTTATAAATAAACAAACTAACTATACTTAATCGTATATAACTCAACAATCGTTGGGTTTAGAGAAAAATGATAAATACCAAAAATGTGTATTTTTATTTTTAGATGGATTACATTTTGTATATTTAGCTTTTTCTGTATCTCTAATAATAAAGTCACTATAGCCAAAAATACAGAAATATGCCGCAATTTTCCAATATGGTGGCCGCAGCACAGCTTCAATTTTAGAGAACTTTTAGGATGTTCAAAAGGAAGGTACACCCAACATCTGTACCAAATTCCTTGCTTGTGCTAATTTTTTTGGGTCAAAACATATTTTTCCTACAGTTACCTAACAATGTACATGTTCTCTCACTGATTTGAGAAAGCAAAGTGGCCAATTCGCTCATCAGTGAGACAATGTTAACATTGTCTCACTCTAATTACTTTGTCTCACTCCAGATTTGCAACGGGACGGCACGAAATAGTGAGCGCGTAACATGCAGGCAACGTCGTATGCGCGCGAAGTACGTTGGCAGCACTGGCTGTAAATCAGCTGGTCAGCTGTTGTACTGTTGTATTTGTCACTTCACATTAAATGTTATATTAAACGTTCATTTCTGTGTAAAAATAGGTTATGTTTCTTCACCAATTTATTTGTTTTATGGTAACTGTAGGAAAAGTATAATGTGCAACTCGAGTTCAAAGTACAATTGCCTCACTCGAGAAACCATTCCTCACTCGCCTACGGCTCGTGAGTAAGGATTTCTCTCGAGTGAGTCAATTGCTCACTTTTCTCACTAGTTGCACAAATAACTATTTATTGTACTAGATGTCTTTTCAAATATCTGTTTTCCTTTTCAGTCAGTCATAGTACCATAAATTCTTTGCCAATTTGTTATGTATTAACTATTTAAAATATAGTCACCAATGCTATCATAATTTTAACAATTCATCCATATATAAATTCCAAAGTACCTATGAACTTTTGAGAAAACTACAAGTCACACCCCTATAAACCATACTACACTTAAAATGTTCGTCACGACGAGAAACCTTTCGCAAAACTATCCATTTTTTCATAAATTGCCTTTTAAGGTCGTAATTCCTTTCTAAAGGGAACTTTCCATATACCTAATGTTAAAAATATCTCAGCTGTACTTATTTGAATGTTATTCATTTCTTTCAATTTATTACCTTATTAAAATCAGGTGTGATTATTAGTTTGTATGACTGTATTCTGTTTTGTTTATTTCAGCTTAACTTAGCCAATCAATAGTTTTATTAATACGGAAGTCAAATGGGGTGAAGCCGGTGGGTAACAGCTAGTTATATATAAATTACTTTGTGTGTACTGTTAATGCTGTGTGTCATTTACTGTTGCCATTGAATACCATAGTGCTAGATGATCTGTTAATTTATTAAAACAAACTTAGACTAAATAATTTATAAGGTATACTATAATATGGATGTATTTATTCATTTATTTAATTACAAAGTATTTTTATCCTTAACGCTATTTTTATTTCTCACTGAGAAGCCTTTTTGGGTAACCTACTTGCAACACAATCTATCTATATATTAATAGGCAAGCATGTTTCTTTAAAACCTTTTTTCTCAGCTCGTGTGAATCGTAGGGAAAATCTACGCATACCGTTAGAAAGATATTTTCCTGTAGGTGTGCAGAATCCCTTTATAAATTAAAATAGGCTCAAAGATAAGCACAAAAAATTAGTTTAAAATTTTGATAAAATTAACATGGATTTTATGGGTTGCTATGCTGGTTACGAAATAACAACGGAATATAAACAGAAAATCAAAACAAATGGAAGAAACTCAAATCACATGTTTTATTTACAGTGTGGGGAGAAAATAGAGAAGTCTGTACATTACATATTTTTGGTCGAGTTTCGACCACTGGACGACCTCTCGTTTACAATAATTCTTACCCTATCCTAGAGTTTTGTAGTTGTTGGTAAAGATGGCTGTAGGCCAGGGTTTTAACACATTTTGATGGCTAAATTTAACAGCAGGCTTACCTTTGTTCTCTTTTAATTAAATAGTTTTTTTTTTGTCCTAAGACGCTAGGCTCATCCTGGGATTGTTTTTCACATTACTTCAGTGGTATTATCACTTGGATCAAATCCATTGGTGACTGGCGGGATTTGAACCCGGGGGATCGCTGGAATTTTATTGATGTAAAAAATTAAATTCTGTAGTACAGTTATATCCCATATAGTCTGAAGGATCTGAAGGGGGTCGAGTATGCATGAAAAGGCTGACGCAATTTTATTTCTGATTGTTGTTATAGGCACTTTAGTGATCACGAAAACGCATGTTGTCGCCCCCCAGCGTGGTCGACATCCCAGGGGGAAAGGGGGGCAATATGGCGGGGAGGAGGGCAATATGGCAGGGGGGCACTGTTTACTAAACACCTATAACTAGAGAACTATTCTATGTAGAACTTTGCAACAACCGTCAATTTACTTCTATGTAGAACTTTGCAACAACCGTCAATCTATATATATATAAAATCCAATGTATGTATGTTTGTTTGTTTGTCCTTTATGGACTCCAAAACCGCTCGTCAGATTGTAATGAAACTTTCAGCCATTGTTAAGCATTATTCAAGGATGGTTAATGTGAAGTTTGGTGCAGATCCGTCAAAATGGCTCTGGAGTTTCCCCTGTTAACCTTAGGAGTACTCATATTTAAATGGAATTAAGGAATCTTAACAGCTGGTTCAACTAAACAATTTGATTCTGTGATGTTCAATATCATTAAAAAGTTAATAGGCTTACCAACAGGGTGCAGCACTATTATTTTTTTAATTTATGACAACAGCTAATTTGCAACCAAAAGGTGAGTGACCGTAGCGAACGAACTTCAACACCAGGACGTGATTGAGCCATGCGAATGAACTCATCTTGAAAATGAACGAGCATTTGACATAAAACCACATTAGGACAGGACGACGTCTGTCGGGCCAGCTAGTTTACTTATAAAATTATGATCTTTAAAAATGTTACTGTGTTGAAATTTGTATCAATCAATCAATCAATCAATAAAATTTTTATTCAATATTAGTACTCTGTACATAGAATGGTGTCAATATTAATTAACACTAAGATACATTATAACTAAGATTGATTAATACTAAGGCTGTCAAAACAAAAGATAGTTATATGCATGAAAAGAAAACAGAACTAAAAACTTTCATTACGCCACACTACACTATTTTGACGAACTTCCCACGCAAGGATTTAGTCCAGAAAACAGCTGTTTGCCGCCAGCTTATTCAAATGGGGTTTCATTGCGTAATACTGTTCTGCAATGAGTTTTACCGGACACCAATCAGCTGATTATACTGTATTTGCGTGGCAATGATTGGTTATAAACAAAAACATAACCTCTCTTGGAGGTTATGACTGGTGATGTTTAGTCCTTTAGTTGGTGGAAATATATAAGGATCTGGACGAATTAAGTAGTATGGCGTAAACTATCGTACGTAACTCGTCCAAAATGTGTGTACCGGACTCGTATGGTAATCCCGTACTCGACTTTGTCTCGCACGGGAACGACCACACTCGTCCGGTAAACATTTATTTTCAGGACTAGTAACGTAATATACTATTACACGTCAACATGGGAATTCGGAGAAAGAATATAATGTTAAATCAATAAGATATTTTTTTAGTTGATTTTTGAATTTATTAATATTTTTCTCAGATTTAATGGCTTTTGGTAACATATTATAAAATTTTGACCCCATATACATTGGCTTTTTTTCATAAAATCCAAGTTTATGTTTGTCAATGCCAATTCTATTCCTGAATCTTGTATTATAATTATGAGTATCTCCAACAAAATGAAGTTGGTCCTGACGGGTTTTCACAGAAATTATAGTTTCATAAATGTACATTGCATATACAGTCATGATACCAATTTTAGAAAAAAAGAGTTTTACCGATTCATTATAATTTAATTTTAATATAATCTGAATAGATTGTTCCTGAATTTTTAGTATTTTGTTCAAATTTTGAATGAAAGTTGTCCCATATAATGAAAGACCAAAGGCGATATTTGAATGAATATAGGCGAAATACACTATTTTCAGAGTCTCTGTTAAACAAATTTTTGAGAGCCTCCTTAGTGCATATACCCAGAGTTTAATTTAGAAACTAGA